TAATAATAATAATAATAATAATAATAATAATAATAATAATAATAATAATAATAATAATAATAATAATAATAATAATAATAATATTAATAATATAATAATAATAAATAATAATAGTAATAAATTATTTAGAGGCGGTACCATAACAGGATGTCAGCCAGTACAATGTGATTGAACAACGATTTACAATAAATTCTCAATGAAATTTCGATAATAATATTTGAATTTGCTTGGCTTTCATCAGCCTTACTGACTTCCTTTAAATTTTACCTTTAATTTTTAGCCACTTTTTTTCTTTTTGAATTTCTTACCTGTTTCATATTTGTTGAAAATTTATAATATCAACTGATACGAAATGTTAAACGAATAAATAAATAGTGGCTTCTCTTTATCATTCATCTATCTCCGGATATCGTTACCTGATGATAATCGGATATCGTTACTTGATGATAACCGGATATCGTTACCTGATGATCAAATCTTTTAAGATGAATTAAGAAAATTGCTTACGATATTATTCATCATAACGATTACCCTAATTAACCTATTAATTATTAACCTAAATTGTACTAGTCATAATAACTTATTGCATATGATATATGTATGACCTGTATTGTTCAAATATTTGCAAATGACTTTTCGAAAATTACATAATTTACTGTTAATAATATTTCATTTTTGCTTAATGAGAAATGATTTGAAACTTTTTCATCATAAATGACTTAATTATTAAATAGAATTTCGAATTTTCAAAATGAAATATCACATAATCGATATTTTTGATCAATTATTTCGTTTTTTTTTTTCAAATGCATGAATTCTGTATTCAAATATAGTATTATATAATTGTAAAATTCAATTCATATATCCATTTTTCAATAAAATCCGATGAATTTTATAAAGTTTAATTTAAAAAAAAGAAAGCTGTTACAGTTATCATTCCTAAAATATAAAAGCTTAATTTTTCTAGCGGTGATTAAATGAAATGAAAAGCGCAAATATGATCGTAGAAATTTTTGTTTTATTTTTTCTTTTTTTGTTTAATTTATAGAAAGGATCAGAAATGTATCGAATAGTTAGTAGCCAATTGCTTAGCCAATTAAAAGGCAACTGAAAAGGCTAATTAATATTCTTCAGGTATTATAATACATAATTATGTTTACAATTTAATATATATGCTATGAAATATTTATGTCATTTAGTATTCTTGCTATTGATATTATTGAAATTTGTATTTTGAAATTTCGATCCCATTTAATTTAAAACTCAAATAATTGAAATTAAATTATTTAATACTTAATAGCAATATTGTTAATTGAAATAAAATTGAAGGAAGTGGATGGCAAGAAAATTACTTCTTGTGGATAATGGTGGTAAGAAAAAATGGACCCTATTTGCTTTCACATTCTTACTTATTTTAGTCGCTTCCATTGCTATACCAGTTATATTGCTAATAATTGAAAGCCATCATCATCAATTAAATAAAAATAAACCTGGTTAAAATTTCAATCTTTTCTTTTTTTTATTTCCATGTTTATAACATAAATCAATAAATATAGTGATAATATCAGTGTAATAATTATCAGCGGAAAATTATCATTAATATCTATCAATACCTTCTTGCATAAATCTTTGATATGATAATTTCGAAATATTATGAAATAATATTTGGCAAAGAGTAAACTAGTATGATAAGAATGGTGTCATTTTATCTGTCAATGTAATTTTTAGAGGTGACAACAAGCGTAATGGCAATTACAAAGAAAATATCAACTGAAATTATCGTTTTAACAATAAATATAGCTAAAGGTAAAAAGCAAAAAGAGAATGAAACTATGTTATACAGAGTAAGTGATTAATTTCAATTGTCATTTTAAATTTTTCGTTTTCTTTTTTTTTTGATTTCCAATTATTATTTTATGGAGATAATTCAAATGATTGTAAAATTATTTGAAATTGAATTGGAATTGAAATTAAATGGATTTTTGTTTTTAGGATAAAATATTGGATATTGTTGCAAAATTAGTAGAAAAGAATGATAATCCATGTGCAGTATATGTTATCGAAGGATTCAATGATAATGCAATTTTCAGTAAATTGTTAACAGAGGCAGAAGTTATTTGCGAATTAGAAAAGATTTTTAATGATGAAAAAATTGGTAGCAAAATTAACATTACAAAGTAATTATACCTTTTTTTTGTTAAATAAATCCTGAAATAGAAAAAAAGGGCAGTTTTTTGAATTTCAAAAATTTCAACCTTTTATTTAAATCGAAAGATATTTTATTACTTATTAAAACATATTGTTATTATAATACTTATCAAAGGATATCATTTTTTTTTTTTAGCGCAATTGAATCATTTCGTAAAATTCCATGGTCATCGCAAATTCCAAACATAATTTTTATTCCAGATATGGCCATGTACAGGTGTAATTATCATTTATCCTTTATAAAAAAAATAAAAAAAGAAAGAAATGAAATTATTTCTTCCTAATAAACTTAATCATATTTACTTATCATTTCTTATCAACCATATCTATTACTTGATTAGATAACCTTCAGTGTACATCTCTGCAATAAACAAATGATTTTTTGAAATTTTTTTGTTGCATCAGAAATTTCTGAAATCAAAAATTGTTATTATTAATTGGTGAAATCTCAAATTTGATTGAATTAAATTTCAGAAACCGGAAATTATACAAGAATGATATAAGATCAGTGAAAAATTTACTGAAACAAATGGTAATGGAGAATCCACGTAGTGCACCTCGTATTGTTATCGGTAATCCTGAACATTTCCAGAATATTAGTGATATCGTAAGCGTGTATTCCACAAATATGAATGTTGATAAATTAACTAAGGCTATTCTATTGGGTAAGTTGTACAACAAGTTACATTGTAAATGTTTATTAGAATTTTTATCAATATGATTATCAGGATATTTCCGTAGACTTTAAGTTTACTGATAACAATATGCCGTTTACTGATTAATTACATACTTTACTGATTAACTATAATTTATTGATTGAATAATATTAACTTATAAGATTCCTAGAAAAAATTTCAAAAAAGAAAAAAGTCTAAAAAAGCTTGTAATTAACTGATCTTTCTTTTCATGAATACTTTTCAAACTTCAAAATTTCATACAAATTTTTAAAACTTTTACATCCAAAATATATCAAAAATGAATATTTTGCATAATTTTCTCTTCCATTATTACTTTTTCAGCATTACAAACTAAAGAATTTACGACATCAGAAGATTTGTTCATTTCAACTAACGGATATGCAATAACACCATCCGATACATTAGAAACTCCTTCTACAGTATCCTGGATTACAACTACCACTTACGATGAGATAGAAGTGGAAAATATTGGATCAACTACAACTTCATACGATCCCTCAATGATAGTAACTAAACCTGTAGGATGTGAATCATCCAGAATACTTGTAAATTTTCCAACAGCAGAATCTGAAGCAGTTAATTCTACGCCAGCGATAATTGCTATGGATAATCAATTATCGGATACAATTTCAAGATCAGAAAGTGCAAAAAGATCATTAATTTCGCCAACTTTAACTACAACATTATCATATCAATTATCAGCAAAAACTGATGATTCTATAATGGATCAGGAGACTACCTTACCTTTCACTTTTATTCTACCACCTTATTCAACATTAACAGATGAAACCGTATCATTATTAACTTTATCTGATAAAAATCCTCAAAATCTATTCCAACAATCAATGTCACATATTTCAATAGCAGAAAAAACTGTAACTGATTATTCCACATATTCTACAGAAATGTCACAATCTCAATCATTGCAATCGTTAGTATTATCAACAACAACTGATGAATCTGATGTTGATAATGGTTTAATGACATTAATTAGCCATCCATTAACCGTTAACCTTGCTTCTCCTACTACTGAATATCCTCCAATAATTGCCGAATATCCAGATATATTGAGCATAAAAAATAAGGGATTAAAAGAGATGTCGATAGAATCAACGACGATTACTAACAATCCTAAAACAACCTTCTTATCATCATCATCATCACCATCACTATCATCATCATCATCATCATCATCAACATCAATACAATCTGATGATATGTTTTCTCAAAAGTTCATACACATCAATTCAACTTCTTTTTCACTACCATTTATCATCAGCAATTCATCATCAATGATGAAAGAAATGAACGAAATATTCGTCACGGGAACTAATTTATCAGATGATGATGAGGAACGATTATCATCACTATCAAATGCAGTTATTTCAGCACAACAAAAATTCCCCTTCCTATTCATTACTAGCAAACCAGAAAGTGAGAAATCGATTACGAAAGTGACAATTGAACCGGAATATTTGTCAACTAATGTTACGAATATTTCACCAAGATTGTATCAGCTAGAAAATGATACAGAATTACAGTTAACTTCACAACAAACAAACAATGAATCATCATTTATATCATCGAAAAAAATTGATATTAAACTTTCTGATTCACATTCTGAACTTTTTAATCGATCAATTAATATAACGAATGAAGAAAATTCTACAGAACTTCTTTCTCATCAATCAATTTCACGTGAATCATATTACGCTTATCCACGTAATTCACATTCAGTGTCACATCATTTTTTACCCAAAGATTCAGAATTTACACCATCAATTGCTATATTTAGTGATAATAATTCTCCAATGATAACATTAATGACAACAAAAGCAAACTTTTCTAATGATATCGAGAGAAATAAATGATCTAAAATAATGGATGATATGAAAAATGAACTAAATCAAACATGATATCTTAACTGATATCATCTTTTGTATTAGATGATATCAGTTAAGAAGTATTGATGAAATCAGGATAATAAACTTATGAATGAGTAATATCAAGTTACTACATTAGATATCAGAACATGTTGTATTATTTAGCCTATCATTATAATAAGAATTCTCTCCCCTATATGCTACTTTATGAGGCTTCATATAAATGTAAATTTGCCTTAATTGAAAAACTAAATTATAATCATAAAGTATTAGTTGATCAATTTTTATCGATCAATTTCTGGTTGATCAATTTTTATCGATCAATTTCTGGTTGATCAATTTTTATCGATCAATTTCTGGTTGATCAATTTTTATCGATCAATTTCTGGTTGATCAATTTTTATCGATCAATTTCTGATTGATTAATTTGGTTCTTTTCGTTAGC